GTCACATTGTTGTTAAGGGATTTTATTTTTTACGTTCGCAACAAGTTTGCGACCCTGGAATAACACACGTGCGTTTCTTTCCAAACATGTGTTTGAAAAGTTTTCGCACTATCTCGTCGTTTTTAACTGGGTTCGATGTAAACAATTTATGAACAAAGGAATGCAGGGAATATCCGTGAGCTCTGTGTACAAGGTACAGTACGCAGTATTCTCCACACACCATAGAATCGATAGCCTGTAGACTCGTGTGATTATATGCCCATTTTTTACAGAGTCTATTGAGAAATCTTTTGTGATGCGCCACAAGGGGCGGAAAACCGTACGAGTCCCAGTATTCGCCTACGCCGTGTTTATCAATGTAAAACGCTACCCAGTGTTGTCCTGGCTTGGATATGGGGTCTGTATTGCAAATGAGAAGAGCAGGGCGCTTGTGAAGGGCGCGTGGCAGAGTATCGGCGGCAAACACGCCCTCAAACAGAGGAGAGACATGTTTATCGCGGCGCATTAGAGTGTCAAGAGTAAGTCCGTCCATTTTTTAGACGTCGTAGTCTACAATGACGTTACGGTCTTTGTCGATTTCAATCAAATTCTGAAATTCTGCGTAGACCACGCAATTTATAGCAACGGGCAGTGGTTCAGCGAACCGGAGATCAAGGCGCAGGGAACCATGTCTTTGCAAGTTCCAATGTGGCTGACTAGCTGAGAGATCGGGTGTCAGATCGAAAGCATAGAGGGTCGTGCCTTTAGCATAGTCGCCATAGCTGATATTGTTCCCGTCGTCTTTCCAATGAATACCCGTACCACTGAACAACGTATTGTAGGCCTCAACATAGAGATCATTAGAAAAATCTGGAGTCAGTGGCTGTGATGGCACATTTTCTCCATCTTTTTTCAATTGCAAGTGATTGAGGTTAAAATCTTGGAAATTGAACGGATTGAGTTTATAATCTCCATTGAATGCAGCGTTGGAAGTCAGACCTAGAAGAATCCTCGTTGGCATTTGATTAAGAAAGAGATTATGTACTGTTTTGTCTCTTAAGCCTTGTGCGACTGTAATTGTTTTAATATCGACTCGCGTAAGGGGGTACTTGGCGTGAGCTTTTTCCAAAACTTGTGCGTGTGGAAGCAGCACAGAGGGAGAAATGGTCACTTTACGAACGACCAGTTTGAGGTCCAAGAGCTTAAGTTTTTCTGTGCCTTTGGTGGACATGAGAACAAATGCGTCACGACTCCGAGTGAGCTTCACCCTCAACGTAACATTGTTAAGAAGTAGGCGGTCTGAGTTCGCTATGTCGATGTGAAGGGGTCCGTACATTTCAAACACTTTGCTGTTTTTAGTCCGCGCACGGCGCCATGCGAGACCCATATTTTCACCCACGGCAAGTGAGTCAAAGTAACCGGGTGTGTCATCGTACCAGAGTCGTTGTTGCATATGCGATTCTTTCGCATGTTTGCTATAATTTAGTTTTGCCTCAATGTATGCCCGATAGGGGTAAGTCATACTAGACTGAGAGATGACAGTTTCATTCAGACTGACGTCTATTTGGGACCACATAGCATGGAGAGCATAATTAACTGGTGCAGCATCGCTTTGGTCGGCTGCTTTAATATCTGAGCCATC